TACTGCGGAGATCACAATCAAACATACTCCACATAGCTACAAGAAGAAGACTCATTGATGGGATTAGTCTCACCTGAGCCATTAACAATAGAAGCTAGTTCTTATTAATACTTAATTAATTGCTTTTTATTTTTGTCATTCATATTGTTATTGTTATGCCATTTACTGGTATTGACATTCATTCTTTTATATGATGTTGAGCCTCTACGTTGTAGTTACTTTTCTTTTCACTACACAATGACACACTCAATAACCATTACAATAATAATTGCTGTATGTTCCAAATTGGAACAGAATCTAGTTATTATGAAAATTAATTAAAAACAAAGAAAAAGAATATTGAGTAATCAACAAATAAATTAAAGCATGTACTACTCCATAAAATTTGTGGTTAACAAATACAAATTAATTTAATAAAGAGAATGATTTTTGAATAAGATGATGTAGTTCTATTAAAATAGGTTTTAGTTGTTGTTTAGTTGTTGTAGAACCAATTTGGTATTGGAAATAACATTCTTGATAAGCACTATTTAGTTGTTGTAAACCAGTTTTTGTGAAAGTCATATTATTACTTTCTTCTTCATTGGTTAATTCTTTATCATCTTCTGAAAAAGACTCTTCAATAATGGTTGTTCCAAAACCTGATAAATCCATTTAACTTAATGATAGATACTACTTCCTTACAATGATTTAGTTCTCACTAACTTTTCTTAATTCCACTGTTCAAACTTTGAAATTTCTTGCTTGTAAATTTCTTAAATTTCCTGATTTTTTTATCATAAAACAAATATCTTTTATTAAGATTTTTCATTCAAAGTTGGTTGATAATATTTATTTTTTTCTTTTTGATTTTTCTAAATACAAATTTTTTTTTTATTATTAATTTATTAGAAATATAGTATTTTTCTCTGTTTTCAAGTTATCCAAACATAAAAAAAAATGCTTTTGAAGAAAGAGTTGAAGTTTACATTTTTTTTTAGTTTAATTGAATATTATTTTATGAATAATAAATAAATTTTTTTTCATGAAAAGTAACAAATAATAAAAATATAATCTTCTTTATGATAAATAGTATTTATTTTATTTCTCTAAATTGAGATGAAAGTTCTACAAAAAAGAAATATGAATATTAAACCAAAGTAGAACAATCGAATTAATTCAATAACACTAAAAATACCACTAATCATTTTTTTAAATTATTTTCCAATATTTTCTTCCAAGAATAACAAATTTGAATCTAATAATATTATTGTTCATTACGTAATACTTATTTTATTAGTATTGCTTGTAACGATTAAACTTGTTATTCATAATATGACTCCAAAACAAAAAAAAAGAAAAATGTTGTGATATAACTTTTCTAATCTTCTTTAACCTTATAGAATTGCGAAGATATTTTCATGAAAAGTGTCATAATTTGAGCATTAAGGAATTTTATTTCTTCATTTTGTTTTTTGATATCTTCAAGACAACGAAGAAAAGTTGGTTTAACTAATGGAACACAAATAATATATAATAAAACAATCCAGAATCGTGGTAAAGAACAAAGATTGAATGCCAACATATACACAGATTCTCCCATAGAAATAAACTTAAAGCCACCAACAAATCCATAAAAAACATACCACCCAAAGAATAATAATATTGATAAAATCATTGATATATAAAATGGCCATACAAAAGTATGAGAATGTGTTGCAAGATGAAAACATGAAACTATAACAATAGCACCATAAATAGTAAATCCAAGTCCATCCATCCCAATCTCTCCAAACCCAATATCACCACTTAATAAATATTTTCCACAAAAGAATATTATCATTGATTCTATTACTCCATCAATAAACCATAATAATACTGTTTTTAAAGTATATATAGAATTTACAGTTAAATATAATTCTGGTCTACTTATTAATTCATATGAACTATAGTCTTTATCAAATGTAGCAACAACCATTGGTAATAATATTGAAAATAAAATATTAAACATTACCAAACTCCATCTTTCATATATAGAGGTTCCTGAAAACCCAGAAAAGAATGCAAAATAAAATTGTGTAATAAATAATAATATACTCCTATATAATGTGTGTGATGTAAATATCCCAATTCTATTAAATGAATACCTTCCATGAACTAATAATAACTTAACAATATCTCTAAATTTTTCAATGGAAAAATCAGCTGCTCTTGCAGCTGACATTCCTTCTTTACCTGTAATTCCTATTCCAACATTTGCTGTTCTAATCATAGAAACATCATTACAACCATCTCCAATACTTAATGTAGAAATCATTGTTTCTTGTTGATGAAGATAATTATTAATAACATTAACAACATTAGATTTATCATTAGGCGTACATCTATATACACAAACCCCAGAAGATGAAATTATTTTGTTAATAATTTCTTCTTTATTATTCTTAAGCATTAAACTCATTTCCTTTCCACTTATTATAAATTCATTTTCTTCTTCTTTCTTACTTAGTATATGTGCATTTCTTGCAATTGTAACAGCTGTTTCTTTCATATCGCCAGTAAGCATACTAATAACAATTCCTGCTTTCTTTAATATTTCAATACTTTCTATAACTCCCTCTTGTAATTCATCTTCAACAGCAGTACATCCTAATATTATTAATTCTTTTTCTAAGCTTTCCATTTTTCCAGTTTCATTAATTTTATTAATATTTTGTATTTCTTCTTTCTTTAATTCTCTACCAGCAATAACTAATATTCTCAAACCTTCTTCCGCATATTCTTTACATTTCTTTTCAACTTTTTCATTTTTATCTTGGCAATTTCTTTGAACAATTCCATTTGCTCCTTTCATAAATACCCATCCTTTATCGTTCTGTATTAAAACAACTGACATTCTTTTTCTTTCAGAACTAAATGGAATTATATAATATTTAAATGTTCCTTCACTTGTTATTATTTCTTCTGAATTTCTTTCTTTAAATTCTACTCCAAATTCTTTTGCAACATTAACTAATATTTCTTCATCAGCTGATGAAGCACTGTACCCTTTATCAGTTTTATCAGCTGTATGACATGTTGATAAACATCTTAAGAACCATTGTTCTTTTTGATTAGCATTATCAAAAGAAAATGAAGTAGTAAATTCATTACCATCAATAAAGCATTTCTTAAATCTCATTTCATTTTTTGTTAATGTTCCTGTTTTATCAGCAAATATAAATTTAACTGTTCCAAGTTCTTCAACTAAATTTGTATTTCTACACCTTGCATTTACTGAATGTTTAATATCCCCATCATTTTCAATAAAGAATGCTTGAATTAATTTAATAATTTCAAGACATACATATAATGAAATTGGTACAAGATTATTATAAAGAATTATAAATGTAAAAAATATCCAAAAGTATGACAATTTATCATTCGTTCCATCATCATTAAGATACCATAATTCAAATTCCCAATTCCATTTAAAAAACCCAATTGTACTAATACTTGATAATATAATTGCTAAAGTAAACATTACTAAAACAAGTTTATTTGTTTGTAATTCCATTCTTGATCTTTTTAAAGTGGCATCTTTTCCATTTAATATTTGTTTTGTTTCACTTCCTACATACAAACAAATCATTTCAATTTCATCTACTCTTTTTAATTTACTTCCTCTTAATAAACATTGTTTTTCATTTAACCGTTCTACATCATTAAACTGATTAACAACCATTCCTTCAAAATTAGTTAATTCTAAAGAAGGATCATTATAATAAATATCTATTTTTTCATCTAATTCTTTTGATTCTTTAAATGTACTACAACAATATTTACTCTTTAAATTAGTTTCTCCATCTAATTGACTTGTTTCTACAAATAATTCCCCATTTTTATTACTACTTGATATTACAATACCATCACATGGAATAGTTTCTTCTTTTTTAATAATTAAATGATCTCCAACAGCAACGTCTTTCCATTTTATTTCAATGACCTCATTATTTGTAATTTTTCTCAGTGTTGTTCTGTTATTTTCTCTTTGATCATCTCTATGTCTTCTAAGGTCTTCATAAATCTCTTTTATCCCAGAAAATATTAACACAACACAAAGAGGAAATAAAGTAGTATATCTCCCTGTTGGTGATAGTCCTGGAATTAATTGTAAACAAGAGATAAACAAGAAATAAACATTTGCTAATTTTCTAAATTGTTCATATAAAAAATATGGAATAAAACTATATATTGTATATTTTGATGTATGAATACCATTAGATAATGTCTCATTTCTATTTCCATTATGAAGAATTCTTTGAAATTGATGTGATGGTTCAAATGACATTTAAAATTTTCTTCTTATTTATAAGTTTAGTTTATTATTAAAAAAAAACCCTAAAACAACACTTTATTTGTGTGAAAAAATTTTTAATTTCAATTGAATATTCTCATTTCTTTTTCAGCTGATTGAATGAATTGGTTAATCATAGAATTATTCTTACGAATAATATGAGTTGAACCAATAATTATTGGCCTTCCAAGTTTTTGTGATAAACTTCTTAAACTAGCAATTTCACCAAATGTAATTCCTCCAACAACAAATACAACAATTTTCTTTGAACCTCCTTCAATTGTTTCTTTAATATTAGTGATTTTCATTTGTTCTTCTTCTGTTAAAATATCATTTAAATTTTTAGAAGTTAATTTACTAACTCCTTTTAATGCAGCTCCAAGAACACCTTTTTGATTAGAAGATTCTTCAGTTTCTTGAGGACAAATAATATTTTCTAATGATTTTACTATTAATGGAGTATAACCTCCATAAAAACTTGATCCATTTTCTTTTTCATATAATTTTAATGCTGAATTTAAAGCAGTAAAGGTTCTTGATTTCTCTCCTGTTTTCTTTAATATTCCAGCCATTTCCATTTTTGACCAAATGTTTAATTCTTCAATTCCACAATATTGGATAAAGAACTTCTTTACTTCATCATATAAATCAGGTTTAATACCATCATACCCAGCACATAATATTGCTAATTGTTTTAATGCTTCTTCATGTTTTCCAAGTAATAATAATTCTTCTATTGGACCAGCAAGGTCTTGTTTAAATAATCCAGCAATTTGTTTAGCTGAAGAAAATACATAATCAAAAAATTGGAATTGTTTTTCTTGTAATTCTAAATTATCATAAGTATTAACATATGAAATAATTGATTGATGAATTTGTGGATGTATTGTAGCAAATGCTAAACACATATTAAAATGAGTTGTCATTTCTAATTTCTTAGAAATAGACTTTTCTTGTTGAGTAAGTTCTTGTAACTCTTTTGTTGCTTTAATTTTATCATTTAATACTGTTCGAATATCATTGAAATTAGCTTTACTAATTTCATTATACCAATTACCATGTAATGTAATAAATGCATTTTTCTTTTCACTGAGTACTTTATAAGCAACATCTGAGTCTTTTGAACTTCCAAAAACTTTATCATATATACTTAAATTTACATTAACAGTAGTACAATCATCATTTATTCCATATACTTCATCAATTAATGATTCATAATTATTAGCAATTAATTCAGGAGTTAATAAATCAAATGTTCTATCAACAATATAAACAAAGTCTACTTCTTTATTAAATTCATTATTTGGTCGTTTAATATTCATCATCTCAGCAAGTTGATGTGAATATTGTCCACGACTAAATACCTTTGGAAAATAACCAAATCGTTTTTGGAATGTATTTAATGATGAATAAATTTCATTCAATATTCCAACATCTCGTTCACCAAATAATCGTACAAATGCATTATCATCTTGTAAACTGAAGACATCGTCTTGAATAACTGCAACAGGAATATCTATTTTACCTAATCTAAATGATGTCTTAAAAGGATCCAATAATTTACCATCAAATGGTGTAAATTTAGGCATTCTGAAAAAGAAAAAGTTTTCTGGTGTCATTACATATGAATCATTTGCTATTTCATTAAATTTCTCTAATGATTTATTCATAAAGTTTAATGCATGAGTTGCTGCTTCTGTTGTTGATTCAACAATAACAAAATATGCTAATGTCTTTCTAAAAAATGTTCGTGTGAAACTTTCAACGTTATAATCTTCATAGCATATCATATCAGTAATATTGTAATTATCATCTTGAAGGTATTGACCACCAATAAGTTCCATCATCATAAAAGAGTGTCTATCACAAACTATAATTTTTTTCTTTGGGTGATTTAAAGGAAGTGTTTTAAGTAATGTTTCTGTTGTAAAATCTTGATAATTTTTAAGTAAGTCATTTGTTTGTGGTCGTGTAATAAGTTGTAATGTTGGAAGAAAGATAGTTTGAAAGTGAGTTCCTAATTTACTTTGAATACCTGTTTGTTGGGTTTTGACCTTTTGTTGTTGTGCCATTAAGGATAATCTTCTTTTTCAAGATCTATTTAATAGTTTAATTATAATTTTAAGTATTATTTTTTTAAGAAGAGAAATTATTTTCAAGTTCAACAGAAAAAGAAAAAAGAATAACACAAATTAAGTGAATTATTGTGTTAGTCAATGTGCAGCTTCATATAGTAAAAAGCACAACACGCCAAAAACAATATAATAATTCCCAAAATGATAAATCCATCTAAAAGGTAAGTCATATTTAAAAAAAAGAGAAAGAAAGAAAAAATACAAACATGGTTTATTTGTTATTGGTGTTACAACAAAATTATAATCTAAAGAAACTGTTGCTACTGTTTGTTTAAAATCAATAGTTGTAGCAGGAATAACAAATGAATGATGTTTTTTGATAGATAATACTTTATAATTTAATAAAGAAATTACAACTACTGTTCCATCTGAACATCCTACACTAGCTAATGTTCTTGCTCGTTCAGTAGCAATTGGAGAAGAAATTTGAGATTTACATAAGTATAAAGTTTTTTTTAATGTAAAAGTGTATGAGTCAAGAACAAGTAAATATGATGGATTGGATTTTTTCATTAATCCAAGAATTGCTTCATCTCCATTATAACTAATTATACAACCCCAGAAAAGTGCATTATCCCATTTTTTATTTAAATCTTCAGGATAAATACTTTTTAACACCTCACCTGAATCAGTGTCATAAACAGTTAATTTTCTATTATGAGACGTAACAAATAATCTATTCTTATGAGCTGAAATACACATACCATTAACATCTTTTCCTGTTTCTTTTTGTAACAATTTAACTAATTCTAATTTTTTATTCTCTAAATGATATTTTTGAACAACACCATTACTCCATCCAACAAACAATGACTGTGTTTTTTTAGTATATTTCATAACTTTAACTTCAATCATCTCATCTTCAGCATTTTCTACATCTAATCCTTGTAACTTATTTTGAATTTCTAATTCTTCATTAGCAATATAAATATATTCATTAGCAGAATAAATAATAAGTCTTTTGTCTGTTTCTTTTGGGTCTTTAATAGAAATGATACATGAAATTGATGAATCTCCTGTATCATAAAACTTTGGTTTTCCTCCAAGTTGTGGAATCTTCATTATACCATTTTTAATACCACTTTTACAACTTCCACCTCCACCTGCAGCAAAGTAATTTGTATTGTCTCGAGTTAATGCAAATAAAGGAATTTGACAATTAATACGTTCAGTCATGACAAATGTACTTTTAAGTTCTATTTCATTAAGTAATAAAATAGTGTTATATAAAACGAAAATAGAATAAAAAAAGTTAAAACAAAGAAAAGTGAAAAACAATAATCAGACAAATATGCAAGGAGGTTATTTCCACAATCCATCAAATTATCCACCACCAAAAGCACCTCAAGAACCATATTCTAATCATCAATATATGTATAGGCATCAACAAATGCAACAGAATAATAATTATAATAATTATCCAACAGGAGCAAGATATGCAGCTCCAGTTGTAAGAGAACAACCACCTCCACCACTTGCATCACGAGATTTTAGAAATCAAATAACCGATAAAAGTGGATATGTAGAATGTTTGTTACAAAAACTTAAGAAGAAAATGAAAGTATTTATCATTTAGTGAAATCAAATGTAATTATTTTTACAAATATCCCACCAGACCAACAACAACAAAAAGACTTTTTATCAAATTATATTCCAAAATATATCTGTGAGTCATATTTACCAGCATACAAAATTGAAGTTGTTTATATTGCTGATAGAAAGACTGCTGAAGGAATTATGGTACATTTTAAAAAAGGGTTTGAAGGAAAGGATAATAGAGAAGCATATTGGGGAATGGAATATTGGATGAAACAATCAATCTTTGATAATGAAAATGGCATTTGTAAAATACCAGTAAAACATATTCCTCCAACAGTACATGTAAAGTCAGATGGTTCTTATGAATATATTTATTCAAGAGAACAAAGAAGATTAGATGACAGGAGAGATAGAAGAGATGACTATCATTATTAATTCATTTGGTTCATTTTTTATAAAAAGAAAAAAAAAGAAAAACACCTTAAAAAATATTTTTATTTTTTGAAAGTAATTTACTTTAAATAAACCTCTTTTAAAGTGAGTCGAGAAGTGAAGCAGCTAAATCATCAGCAGCGTTTGCTTCACTTGTTTCAATGGGAGTTGGACTTGGCACTTTTTCTGGTTCATTAGTAAGACTAACAGAAGTAGTTGGAATAGGTTGTGATGGAGTTGTATTTTCATCTCCAAGTAAAGAACCAACAATATCATTTGACATATCAATCACTGTTTGTTGACTTTCTTCTAATTCTTTTTCACTATTCATTAATGTGTCAATAACTTCATTGATTTTACACCTCTTTTCAGGACTTTGATCCCACATTTTAGGAATGATTGAAGCAGTAGTTGGTGGAATATTATTTGATATTTCAACTCTCTTTCCTTTATTAACAAATTCAAGAACTTCCCAAGAACTTCCTAACATAGAATATGGACATTTTCTATCAAAAGCTTCTACAATAACAATTGCTAATGAATAAATATCGTAAGCTGAAGTTATTTCTTTATTATTAATTCCTTCAGGAGCAAAATAAATTTCTTGTCCAATTTGTTGATTTAATTGAGCTGCTTGTTTACTTCCAATTAATTCATTTGGTAAATCATAGTCAGTTAATTTAGCACATATTTTCATTGAATAATCAGTAGAAAAAATGATAATATTTTCTGGTTTAATATCTCTATGAATAATATCTCTTTGATGAAGATATTGAATACCTTGTGCAGCATTAAGTAAACATCTCCAAATTAATTGTTTAGGAGATTCTTTCATTGAATAAATATTTTTTAAATTACCTATGATAGAATATTCATTAATAAGACAATTATTTTGTGGAGCAATACAAGCAAAAGAGATTGGTAATAAATATTCATTTTCTAGTTTAATTAATGAATTAATTTTATTTCTAAAAACATTCATTAATTCTTCATTAAATTCAGTAGTAAACTTTTTCATTGCATATGATTTATCTTTATAGTTAATTAATAAAGTCTCTGAATTAGGACCATTATCAATTTTTTTACTTATAAGAACATCCTTGTAATCAATAAATACACTCTCTTCGGTTGATACATTAATTGTAACATAAACAAATTTAGGTTCTTCATTTCCTTCTTCTGTAATTGCAAATGCAATAATATCATCATCATTACATGAACAGGTACAAAGGAAAGTAATAGTAAACCGAACAGTTCCTTGTTCTCCAGCATTAATAGACATATTATTAACATTAGTTTGAATATTAAATTTGTAACTTGTTGGTAATGAAATATCAAATTGTTTATTAACAGTAGAATTATTTGTGATTGTAAGACTTTGTTCTAATGTACGATTAATTGGAGCTTTGTTACCATCTTCATAACCAAATGTCAATACTTCAGTAGAGAATGTAAATGGAAGTTCTTCTAAAGGAGTAAAAGGATAAGATTGACCATCAATAGTGAAGCTTTTAGCATGTTTTCTACTCCATTTTTTATATAAAACACTAATCAACGCAATAATTAAAATAAGAATAAAAATACAAATAACAGCAATAATAATTGATGAAACACCACCAATTTGTTTTAAACATGTTTTCATATAAGAATTATAATAATATCCTGGAGCACAATAACATAATGTTCCTGTACAATATTGAGCAGTGATTTTTGATACATCAACTTTTACTGTAGTAGCACTTCCATTAAGAAGAATATTTGTTTTACCACCATAATAAAGTGTTTTTGAATCCATAGCAACAGAATATCCCATATAGTCATATGAACTATTTGAAACTAAACTATATATTAACTTAAATCTGTCTTTTGTACTTACTAAATAATTATCAAAATATACTGAAACTGCACCTCCTCTTTGAATACTTCCAACAGAATAACCAAATCCACCAATGACCAAGAAACTATTATAAGTTGACATCATAGGAACATATTGAGTATTAATTGGATTAACAAATTGTTTTGGATTAATAAATACATTATCAATGAATGTTGGATAAGCATAGTTGTTAGGTGAATTTACTTGAATTTTATTTTTATCAGAAATGACACTATAAACAACATCATATTCATTAATAATAGACATATCATAATTAAAAGTAATTGAACTATTGTCTTTAATTTCAAAATTAGTATAAAATGATAATTTACCTCCTTGATTTAAAGTATATAATTCTACATCTCCTCCTCCTCTAACCATTAAATAAGAATATCCATATGATGAAAAATTACCACATGGATGTTTTGTAGAATCTACTACATTAAAGCTTTCATTAAATACTGTTAATCCATTATTTTGACAAAGAACAATAAATACTTCTGGTTTATATGAAACAAATTCTTTTGTAATAACAGTCATTGGTGAATATGAATCAATATTACTTAATGGATAACTATGTGAAATTACTCCAGAAATAGTAGAATTAAGATCAAAAACATCAACATTTCCATTATTTAAAACATACATATTATTCTTTGCAAATCCAATTTGCAAACGTTTTAATTCACTGGTTTGATATTGGTATTTTTTTGATTCTTTTTCTCCATCAACTACAATTGTAATTGAATTTCCTGATGACTTACTTCTATAAGCATAAACATTAGAGATATATTGTGGAATATTATTGTGCTGAACGTCAATAATAACATATTCTTTATCATTTAAAGTAAAGTCAACCTTCTCTAATCCAGCTGCTAAACCATAACAAATGAAAAGAAGATACAACATCATTTTCTTTTTCTAAGTTCTTAGTTTTTTATTAGTTCTAGTTGACCTATTTTTAAATTTTTTCAGTTAGAATTACTAGTTTTTTCGTTTGTTGTTTTGTTACTTATTTCTATTTTTATTTTCATGTTTGATCAAATCTTTTTGTTTGGGTTCTACTTAGTAATCATCTTTTTAACTTATTCAATAAAGGTTATATGAACGAAAGACTAAACTTACCTAAAGTTCTTATTATTAATGGAAGTCCTCGATTAAATGGAACAACTTTTTTAATGCTTAATTTGATAAAACAAGAATTAGAAAGAGAAGACATTATAACAACATTTTTCCAATTAGGAGGCAAAGAAATAAAACCATGTAAAGCATATCAAACATGTAAAAAGAGTAAAACATGTTTACAAGGAAATCCTCTAGTTAATGAACTTATTAAAAAAATGAAAGAATCTGATGGAATAGTAATTGGAAGTCCAACCTATTTTTATGACGTTCCAATAGAAGTAAAAGGAGTGATGAATCTTTGTGGATTAATTCTTTCAACCCAATTAGAAAGAAAGGTAGGAGTTGCAGTTGTTGTACCATATAAAGGAGGTTCAATTTATGTATATGATACAATCAATCATTGGTTTTGTTCAAACAATATGTTTATCGTTGGATCATCACATTTTATTGATAGACATATTAATGAAACAACAAAAGAAAGAGAAACAGAAAATAAAAAGATGATAATACGATTGTCAAAGAATCTTTCAAATTTATTATATCAACTCAAAAAATAAGAATAGAATGTAATAAAAAAAAATTTAATATTTATTCAAAAAACTTCTTGAAACATTGTTCTTCAGAAGTAATTTCTTTCCAATCTTTAAAAGGATTTAAGTCCAATGAAACAGTATGTTGTTTAACTAATTTTTGTAAGTCACAAGGAATGGCTTGACTAAATGATTCTGCTAATAAAATTAATTTTTTAGCTTGTAAAGAAGGTAAGTCTTTGAGTATTGCTGATGGATTAGGAACTTGAAGAAGAATTTTTCTACAAGAAACTAATTGTGCTAAAGTTATATAAACAACATTAAAACAACCTTTTGCAAAATAATAATCCCAAAGAATTAAAGCTTCATTTAAAGGAGAAGTATTTGAACTAAGCCCATTAAAACAAGGCATAAGAACAATTGGATTACTTCGAGAAGAATAGAAATGTGAATAAAGAATTGGATCAATATATTTCATACAATCAAAAACTAACTTACAACCCCACCAAACTCCATAATATTTACCATTTTTACCATAATAAGTTGGTAATAATTGTAAAATCATCTTTTTTGTACAATAATATGAATCTAACTCTGGCATAACTGCAAGAAACATTCCTGCAATTAAGTTCATCCCTTGAAGATAAGTAACATCCTCACTCCCTATAGCTGCACATACATGATTTAATAGTCGAACTATTTTATCACTACATTTACGTTGTTCATAAATATCATCATGTCTAAAAGTTCTACTATAATCCTTAAAAATATTTTCCCATTTCGCATCATCAGTTTTTCCAGAATCACAATATTCAAATGAATCAATCTTATAAATACCTAATAAAATTTTCCATACTTTCCCTCTTATAGAAATCTTTTCACATTGGTCATCTATTGGCATGTCTTGTGTCATTACTGCCCTTCTCATTTTTTGAATTTGGATTATATAATTTTCTCGTGTTGGAACAGTTATTTTTTCTTCTATTAGTTGTTTGATTAGGTTCTGTTGTTGGTCCATCTCAGATGAATCAATTATCTTTTTTCTTTAATTTTTTTTTAGTTTTTTTTACTAATAAATATAGAATTTGTCCTAAGTGTAAGTCACATAATTTAATTAAAAATGCTATTCAATTAATTGAAGAAAATAAGTAAGTTCATAAGAGCGTTGATGATTGGGACCAATAAGAATAAGAGAATTGTTCATCTTTACTTTAATAAATGAAACGTTTTCTCTTTTGGTAATAATAAATTCAAGATAAGTTGTTGGTGTTGGAAATTCTAATTGTTCTTTTTCAAGGAGTAACTGAAGAAACAAAATTATCTCTTCGTTTGCAATGACAAAGTGATTGTTCTTTTTATTTGACATTGAACAATATATATCCTTACATAAAAATGTAATTTCTTTAAAGTATTGAATAAAAGGACTAAGGTATTTAATAATATCTTCTCTAGGAAGAATTGACTGGATTAAAAATAAATAAAATTGTTGTAACTCTGCTTTCTCTTTAAATCTTTTTTGTGAGAAGATTAATTGTTTTAAAGAAGAGAATGTAACATTCGAAGTAAAACGTTCAATAATTTCTTTTATTCCTTTGTTTTGGTTGATTATGGTGTTAAGTGGTTCCTCTTTAATTTCTTGAAACGAAATGAGTGTTTCGTTTTGAGTTGAGATATATTTCTTAATATTTTTAAGTTCTTGGATACATTGTTCATTATTTTGTATTCCTATCTCAAATGAAGACGTTTGAAGAATTTGTTTTATTTCTTCATTCCATTTGGATGAGACAATTATTGTTCCTTCAATTCTTTCTTCTTTCCTAAGACATTGACCAAGTGAAATGATGAAGAAAAAGTAAATCAAATTCATTTCATTTTTCTAGTTCATATTATATTCTCTTTTCCTTCTATTCAGCTTAACCAAAAAAATGGAATATAAAACATTTTAATGATTCATAAAAACGAAATCAGCTTCTAAACGATGACCCAAGAGTGACTTACCATCAATTTCATTTATACACTTTTCTGCTTGCTCTTTTGATTTAAATAAGACAATAGCATATTTTTGTGTTGGACAACTTTTTCTTTCATACAAAAGTAATGAAGTAATTTTACCAAATTCAATCAAAAAATCTTTTAAATCATCTTTTTCAATCATTGGACTTATCCCCCTAATAAAAACACTCCACGCTTCTTTTGATTTATTTTCGTTCATAAATAAATACACTTCTAAGTTCAGGTTTATTTCTTTTAATTAAAAACTATGTTTATATAATAAAATAGTTATAAATTAATATTAAAAATCCATAGATTAAATGAACCAACTTCCAAAATAAATCTAGAAAGACATATTATTCCTAATGTATGAACCCTTGTTTTATTTACCTTTCTTTATTAGAAAAAAAGCATGAATTCAACTTAGTAAACAATAAATGCTTAATAAAACAAACAAAATAGTCATTCTTTCATTTTTTTAATCCTTTTGAATAAACATCTCATTAACATGAGAATATTGTAAATCAATAAAGGTGTGGGAAGTTTATTATTGTGTTAAAGAAGAAGAATGAGAAATGACTTAAATATAAGGGGGGTATTGATTATTTTGCTTTATTTTAATTTCATTTGGAGTGAGAGAAGATTCCATATTAAGTTGATGTGAATCAATTATTTAGTAAGAAAGATAGTATTGATTATTTACAATTTCTATAGGACTTACTTGAAATAAATTATCACTTGATAATAACTGGTTTGAACAGAACTATTATTGTTAGAAATAATTTTATTTATACAACAATTATTTGATTGATTCAGTATAAGCAAAGAACTAAGAGATGTATGGTTTGTTGTCATATCAATTAGAACCTTTATGAACAACCCCCTAATTTTTTAATAAACTTAAACTCTAATTAATTTCCTTAAATCAATCATTTTATTGGTTAATAATTTTTTGAGGTATAAAATAAGAAATTCATGAAAAGAGAGAAACATATTTAATCAGTATAAATTGGGTGGAAGATTGTAGTTGAATGTTCGTCATTCATTGGTGATAAGCTCATCTTTGGAGAATTATTATCTGAAAATGAAGTTACAGTAAATTCACTTGGAGCAGCAGGTGAAAATGCAGAAAGTGAATTTCTTCTTTTTATTGATGGACTTTTGTCATGAGGAAATTCAGAAGAATTTGGAGAGATACTACGAGAAGAAGAACTACTATTATTTTGTTTTACTTGTTTTAAGAAATATTTTTGAGCATGACTTCTAATTTGAACTACTGTCTTAGTTTTAACATGTCCCTCTATTCGTTTCCAATCTTTGTGGTACAAAGAAAGTCCTTCAACAAATAAGGCATGTTCTTCATTTGTCCAAACTTCTCTCTTTTTTGTAATTGTATATTGTTTTCTTTTTTTTCTCATTGGAGAAAAGGTTTGGTTTGGAGATATCTGATACACACTTTCTGATGAATTTAATTGACAACAGTGAAGGGACATAATGACTTTCAAGTTCTATCCTTCTGTTTTTTCTTTTTTCTGCTCAAATCTTCTATTTCAGTTTTATTTTCTACAATCACAAATCTTTCTCTTCAGAGTTTTATTGATTTTTTTTCCTCTTTATCAGTCATCATTTTCTTTTCTTTTCTTATCTTCTCTTTAATCTTATCTTATCTCTTTTTGGTATTTATCTTCAACTTTTGACGTAAAACAACAAGTGTGAAAATTTGGATTTTTTTGTTTGTCGTTGTTCTTAATTTAGATACCAAAATTTCAAAAAAATGTTAAACCATTTTAAACTTAATAATAACAGACTATTGTTAAATGTAAAACAAGACTAATTGCGAAAAAAAATACTATCTTATCTGTTGTCGACACCACAAAATTTTTTATCTTTAAAAAAATCCTTTTAACTAATTTTTTTGTAATTTTAAAGATTTCCATCCCTTTTTCACAAACTTCTTCTACGAACTTTCCTTCCTCAAATCCTGAAAATAAAGTTTTCACAAAAACTAAATACAAAGCACCATTATACACAACTATTTTTTTAATCCAGAAATGTCACTCCATCCACAAAAAATATTTGAACATTT